TTTCTTCTTCTTCTTCTTCTTCTTCTTCTTCTTCTTCTTCTAAACAGACAAGCAGTCAGTGGGTCGAAAGTGCAGTCAAGTGATTCGCACAGGCCTGTGGCCAGCGCAGAAGAGCGTAACTGTCGGCGAGAATGCCAGTGAGATAGAAAGGATACTGATGCTGTATCACGTAGAGTGGCTTGTACGGTAGATTACAAAGGGGGAGGGGGGACGAGGAACGAGACCATCAGCCTTTACATCTATTGGTCAGTCTGGTGGGGCTTACACCTCACCAGATCAACGCGCCAACAAGGGACCTTACGGTACTTTGCAATTTGTTCGCGTAAATCAAGCGAGAAGCCAGCAGTCTAAAACAAGCTAACGGCAGCTGACGAGGCCAGCAAGCGTGCCGTAAGATATGAAAGAACAAGTATGTAAATGGGAGGTATTTCGGTAATGTATTGCTGCCTATAATATGCTAGCCGCTGAGCGACTGCTGGCTGGGCTTGAAAGCAGACCCCAAAGGAGCAACGGGAGGAGTGACTTCCGCAGCCAATCCTTGTGTATATTCCCGATCGAAACCACCAAAGAACGAGCCAGTGACGCAGTAGTTAGAGCTCCTGACTTCTAACTAACAAGGTCGCGGGTTCGAACCTTGAGTGGGACACAACTTGGGGTTAAGTGGGACTAACTGAAATGGTCAGAAATGGCCAGTCCAATCCCCCTTGTCGTCTCCGGCAATGTTTGTACTGTAAATGATCGGTGTACGCTTATCTGCTACTGTATACTCCCGATCAAGAACCGACGACAGAGCGAACCCGTAGCCAAGTGGTTAGAGCATTGGAGTTCTAACTAGCAATGTCGCGAGTCCGAAACTCGAGTGTGGCAGCAATTTCTGCGGCAACACTGAAGTTGAGTATCACTAGCTGACGACGGCTAATGAACCAGAAATGGCCATCCTAAACTCTTTCTGTCTTTGTTGGTAATATTCTAAATTATATATATCCATATATGAGAAGGGGCGATCACGGGAATAATAGGTATAATAACACGGGCAGATGCAAACGGAGGACGAGCCAGACACGCGGGACTTGCATAATCAACGCGCTCAATGCAAATGACCGTTGCCATGCGAACACCGCCCACCCCCTCCGATGAGGT